GTGATCCAATCGAGCTGACATTTTGCACACAGACTCGTTGTGCGAGACAATTGATGTTCGTGAAAATTTTTTTCCAAAATTTTACACTGTTTAGGGAAAACAAATTAAATATTTAATTACCAATTGTTTAATACTGCAGACAATCATCTGACCCATAGGTGGCAGCCATCTCAAGCCAGAGGACGAGAGGACTCTAGCCGCCACGCATATAAAGGATTTACAGTGAAAAACTTTGTTTTTACGGGTTATACTTATTTTAAATCCTTTATATTAAGTTCACTTGCGCGCTTGCTTGCTTGCTTACGACCGTGTAAATCTTTTGGTCGTTTTTTAACCCACTTCCCGTGATCCAATCGAGCTGACATTTTCCACATAGACTCGTTGTGCGTGACAATTAATGTTCGTGAAAATTTGTTTCCAAAATTTTACACTTTTTAGGAGTAAAATATAATATTTAATTAGCAATTGCTTAATGGTGCCATGCAATCATCTGACCCATAGGTAGCAGCCATCTCAAGCCAGAGAACGAGAGGACTCTAGCCGCCACGCATATAAAGGATTTATAGTGAAAAACTTTGTTTTTACGGGTTATACTTGTTCTGTCTCTGCTTCGTGCACTCCATTAGCCTCAAGTGAACAATAGCATATTCATAAAGGCCTCACAAAGGCCCGAGGCTATTTCATGAGTGTCTTCGATTCAGGATATTTAGCCTATTCTATGCATGAGTGGTATGCGGTGGGGGCCTGGAGAACCCGGGGAAAGCCCCACCACGGATACAAGAGGGCAACACTCATTACTGCCACCTGACAGTCCAATACCTGGGAAGTCACGTGGTCACCCATCCAAGTATTAACCAGGCTCAAGCGAGCTTAGCTTGCAAGGTCTGACGATTAACAATGGTCAATATTACCGATTAGCACGGTTGGCTACCTACGGTGCGAAAGAAGTTCAACATACATTTGCATATATACGTTTTAATAAACAAACATCAATTGTTTTACACTTTTTCGACGCATACGTCATGAGCCTTAAGAATCTATTAATGAATCAATGGATCTTAATCATCACTCTCACAATAGATGCCTTTGGCTACAACTCACCTCATTGTCTCTTTGGCAATATTGTTGTAGCTTAATAATTAAACAGCAAATATTTGGCTTTAGTCACTTCAATTCCTGCTCATACAGCAATGGGCTCTTAAACTTTTGAGTCTACAAGTTGCTTCGGTATAAACCCTATGCAAATAGATTTGAATTTTTCGTGACTGCAAGGATCCATACTCTTTGGTTTTTTCGGTAAAGTCGCGTAGGTTAAAAGTAAACAAATAAATTAAATCACGATGTTTCGGAGGCAACACACGGAAGCTTGTTTGTAAATTAAATCACGATGTTTCGGAGGCAACACACGGAAGCTTGTGTTGCCTCCGAATCGTCGTTATTTAATGTATTTGTTTTCTTTTAACATACGCGACTTTACCGAAAAAAACAAAGAGTACCTATGCAAATACACTGGATGGACAGCACACTCTTTCCACACAAATCCAAACTGCCATTAGGTTTGGAGATCTAACCCAAAAAAACCTCTATTAGGGATGATATTGGTCGCGAAAGCCGACGTGTTAAACAGGTTTGGAGACGTTCATGCCCTCCCCTTCAACGTCCTTTATTTAACCAAGTGGGATCCCAAGAGGAATAATCTTGTTTAAAAGGAAGGCCTGGACAGGCAGCGTAATTAATACCATGGTGTTTGTTTGGAATTATATCTAGAGACAGAAAGAGGAACGCTAATTCAATGATAAATAACTTACGCAAGTTATAGACGATATCGATTGTTAAGAATATTAAGTGAATTGAGCAGGACATGTCACGAGAACGGATGATAGCAATAGCCAACTAAAAGGTAACCAATGCAGAAAACATGTCTGTGAGTACTTGCATCGTGAAGATCTAACAGTGACATTGGTTTGTGTGCAGGTGCTCTTTGTATTTATCTTGCATTGCAAGGCCATGAGAGGTGGCGAAGGCTTGGAAAGGCCTTTAACAGTAGATGGGTTATGGCTTGTGATGATACCAAGGTTACAAACAGTGAACCATTCAAGTGGTAAATTGTACAGGGGAAGTGTCATGTTTAAAATTCCCCACACTAGCAAATGTCCTGAAAATGACCTTTAAGGGTCTTTAACTTTCAAACCTGGTCTTAGGTCACGTTAACAATGGTGAATGTGATCTCAAACCAGTGCTCCTAGATCCCTTGATACGTGTACATTCCCTTAGACCTGTTGCCACTTGATTAGCGCGGTTTCGGTTAAATCATTAGCCTTCGACCTGAGTCTAATGCACAACACAGAAGTGCACGTTTGAGATTCCTTTCCTTCAGAGGGCCGTCTTGCCCTCCTTTTTCGTGTTGTATTTGAATGATGTATGTTTGTTTTGTCAACTGATTCACAGGCGTGTAAACATACAGAACACACAAAGGGAGCTTACAATACATCTCCGTACTATTTTAATCGTTAAGCATATGGCAGTTCACAGCATTGGTTCAAGCACCCCTGACTGCTGATGAAACATGGAGTGTCAAAACCGGTCCATAATTTGCATGTGTTGAACCACTGCTTCTGAATTATGCACTCCCAGAATTCTTGTATGGCTGATGTGATGTGTCAAATTATGTTTTTATGCGGAGGGACAGATTTGTGAAGGAGGTGAATTTTCTGCTGATTTTCTTCTATACTGAAGATAAAACTTTCTTGAAATTTCCAGGCTCCATAGTTTGGCCTTTCGGAGGGTTTAAATATGTATAGTTTTTGGGAAATATATTTCTACTGTATCATCAAACAAAATATTGTAGTTGGTTTGCAAGATTAACGCAATAAGAAACTCGACTCTGAGATTCAACATTTTAACAGCTTTTTTTGTGATACAACGTAAGCAACGTCTAAATTTATTTTGTTGGATACACTAAATAGAGATAAAAAAAATATCAGAAGGAAGTTTATGGTGAACATTTTGGCAATTAAATTGCCGACAAGCGATAATCGCTTAAAGTTGCATTAATTGAGCTGTTCTGGCTGATGTAGCACTGTGTATACAACAACTTGTCGAAGACATTGTTTGTAAGCAAACTGCCAAGCATATATATCACATGGCGCTAACGTTTTTTGGCGAATGGCAATATTCAGTTGCCCTTCCAAAGGACAAAAGCCAAACATGTTGGCATTTCTTCAAAAGATAAATTGTCCAAAACATTGGTACAGTACTGCTATTTTCCTAAATACACTGTATATTTTGGCTGTTGAATCAAACCATGTTGGCCAATGTTTTGAGATTTTTTTGTTTTTTGTTGGAACGATTTCCAGCACGCACATTACAAATAGCATGTGTACTTACAACAGCTTCGAATCTCATAATTTGCAATGGGATACGATGCTTAATCCTTTATTCATCTGGGCATCGCTCTAGATAGAGTGCAGTAGCTTCAAATTGAAGTGTTGCCAGTTCAAATCCTACTCAGGGGTTGATTCCGCTTATCGCCCACCAGAGTCGATAAAAGGTCCCACTTTGTTGGAGAAGCACAGAGTGGTTGTCCTATGAGTAGATGGACTCCCACTATGAAATGTCCGCTGCTTACTCAGCATCGGGGAGAGATGAGAGCCGCCCAACACTCGTTTGAACATGGCTAATGACTCCACCCATGGACAATCCACTGCTAGATGAAATCCCCCCCCCCGCCCGCCCCAAGCTACCACCACCTCCAACGATATTGTGCTGTCGCAATGCACCCAGCACCTGCATTGATTTCATATCAAAAACATTTCTTTTTAAACGTAGCTATTCGGTGTTGATTTTTTTTTTGGGGGGGGGGGTATTTAGATCCAAGGCCGTAGCCACGGAGTCAACATTGGGGGGGACCAAATCTTCCAGGGTGTCTGGGGGTCCCAACCCAAAAAAATATCTAAATTTTAAAACTAATTTCCTGCCTAAAATATTAAAAAATTCACTAACACATGGGATGGACTTTTTATTATTTTTTTACAATAATGTCTAAGAGTGTATTGTATTACATTGCTCTATTTTAACTTTTTTTTACCATTTATTTCTTCATTGAATGTAATGGCAGAGATTAGGGATTAATAAAGTACAACCATAACCACAATCATATAAACAGAAATCTATGCATTGATTTATATGAAGACAAGTCCAGATATTGTGGCCAAGGTTTAGCAAATAGTTATTTTAATTTACATAGCATAGCTTAAAAAAAATTATAGCTATATATTGGGGGGGACATTTTGAGCATATTTGAATATTGGGGGGGGGGGGTGGGGATGTGTCCCCACCCCCCCCCCCCCCCAATATATATTATAATTACGGCCTTGTTAGATCTTAGGGTTAGGGTAACTTAACCAGGGTGGTTTCCAGAACTCAATTTTGACATTAAAAATCACCAGCACAAAATTAATTAATGCCCGAAACAAACAGCTATAAACATTGTCATCATTTATTTGCATCACAGCCACCGCGAGCCCACCGATGGCACCGGACCCCCCCCCCCCCACCACCCCCCACACTCTCTTGAGCGACCACTCACCCGGCCCTCTCTCTCTCGACGTGCCAAACCATTGTAGATGCCAATCTTCATTTTGGAGCTTTCGTGACTGCAGGAATTATTCTTTGGTTCTTTCGGTTAAGTCACGTCTAAAGATAAAATAATACATTAAATAATAGCATATTACGACGTTTCGATTGCAACACAAGCAATCATCAGGCATAAAAGAAATAGCAACAAAAATCTAACTAGAAAACTATAGACATACATACAAGGAGACATACATCACGAGGACACACAGAGAGAGGACACATATCGGCACAAAGAGAGAAACATTGTAGATGCCCCCTTCCGTTGGTGCCCCCTGCAGGCGGAGCTGCGTCGCCACGTCACAGACATCGCTCCATCGCCACGCCCACCCCACGCACGCGGGCAGCAGCAAGCAACAGGAAGGGCGGGCAAGCAAGCGTGTCGTGGCCGGGGGTGCTGGCGGTGTTTGCGTGTTGGGAAGCTCACACGCCCCCCCCTCCTCCTCCTCCCGCAGCACCACACGCCACACTCTCTCCCGAGCACCGCTGCAGCTCACTACGACGAGAAGGGAGGAGGAGGAGAGGGACAAAGAGGAGTAGGAGGAGGTGGGAAGACGAGGAGTGGACGGGAGCCAGCCACGCTATGGACGCGCCTCTGCCCACTACGGGCTCCACCGTGTTGCTGCCTTTAAGCAACAAACTCAACATGCCCATCGACCAGGTGCGGTAGGGGGGGCAACGCTGTGATCGCAGCGGTGAGCAGCATTGCCATCGTTGAATTCCGTCAGTCGCCGTCAAATGTGCATCGCAATTATTCTTCACTGACAAAAATCATCATCATCTTCACTCATCGTAGTCATCACCACCGCCTTACGCGTGAATCATCGCTACACGCTTCTTCATAGTCGATATATCATCATAAATGTCGTAGCAATCATTGATGTTACAGGCATTACCACGGTCATTCATCGATACAATCTAAAAAGCGTCACAATCGTGGTCATTAATATCATCACCTTGATCATCTATAATCACTCATGTCACTTATATTCATCGTTATAACCATTGCCGTCTAAATCATGATGGAAGTAATATAATCACAACCATCCTCAACACCATTACTAACACGTGCATGTATCATCATCTGCACCATCAACACGGCCATAGTGGTGATGGTGAATATTATGATCAGGACATTGATTATGACGAATCTGAATGAGTAGTGATCGTGGGATGAGGAATGTGATGGCGTTTGAGATTATCAATTAAATGTGATGATGATGCTGAGTGATTATTATGAATGTGGTGATGGTGTCGATGACTGCGATGATGACGATCACGAATGATTTGAGTGTTGATCCTGATGTTATGACGCTAATGAACGTGATGAATATGATCGATAAGATTGTGATGCTGAGTATCATTAATATTGATGACTTCACTGAGAGCGCCAGGCTCTCGTTTGTAAATTGCCTGTCCTTTACATCAATTGAGAAACACTCTCAATATGTCCAACCGTGTTGAAATCTGGGTACTGTCGGTGTTTTTTTCATTCACACCTATTGGCACACAGTAGCTTAAACACTGGTTACACATGGACAGCTGCTTAAGTGGTGTATCTATGTCATCACCCTCAACCGTGCTCAATCCACTGCTGAATGAATGGGCACCACGGTGGTGAGATATTAACTCCCTCGCCTGGTCTACAGAAGGTGGTGGTGGGTTTGCTCCAGAACCTGACGCCTGCTGTATATTTGGAGTTTGCGGGGTTTCTCTCTCTCTCTCCCCTCGGTCCCGTCGACTTTTCTCCAGAGCCTCCGGTTTTTTTCCCTCCACGTTTAGAATGAACATGCGTTTAGAGTATTTGGCTGCTAGAAATATCCACATGGTCATCCACTTCGTTGGGATATCATTTGTGGCCACCAAGTCGCTTCTGAAAAAGAGCTATGTAGCTCAGTGGACCTTACCTGGTAAAATAATAAATAGTTTATAAATTAAATAGTTTTAAAGCTGCCACGAGCCATCACTTTCTCATGATCCTGCCGTGTAAAAATTACCTCTGTACAGGTTGATTGTCTTATTGTGGTCGGTTTGTGACACCCGTGTGTCACATATTGGGCTTCAGACACAGTTTCTGTCGGAGAGACCGCATGCTTTGTATTATTATTTTCAAACTTGAGCGATATTCCGGTGGAACACAATGTCCAGCTCTTGCCGGCGGTGGGTTTTCAGTGTCCATGCGCAGAACGCCGGTGTGCTTTGGTAGTTTCCTTTTGGAGTTTTAGGAGTTTCCCAGTAATCTGTGTGTGTGTCGTCTGCCTCACTGCTGCCGAGTGCTCTTGAGCATCAGAGTAACACAACCAGCCCACACTCGACTACTGGCCGAGTGGCATATCGACGAATGGGATCTATAGGAACGCATATTTATATTTGGCCGATAGTCTTCAGGTGAGAAGCGAGGATACTTAAATGTATCCATAATAGAGGTTTTTTTTGGGTTGGATCGCGTAAATATATAAATGTGTCGTCAAAACCCGCCACCACCCGACACAGCCAACTAGTAAGGGTTGTCACGTAAACAGAACGTGCCAATTCGTCACTAGTTCAGCGCTAACCAGTATGTTGGAGAGCCAAGCCACGACATGTACAATCCGAGTACGACGTTTCGCCAGTAATTACGACTAGCATCATCAGGCGACAGCCAGATTTGTGAATGTGGTGACCACGCTTCTGCGCTCTTGCGCCACGTGGTGGGGGGGATTACAGAGTCATTATGCATGCGCATTATGCGGTTTTTAACGACACACTTATATATTTACACAATCTAGCCCAGAAAACCTCTATTATGGATGATATTGGTCGCGAAAGAACTACGTGTTAAACTGAATTAAGTGTATGTATGTTGACCTTTTTTCGCGCCGTACATAGCCAACCGGGCAGGTAAAATCCACATTGCTCTTTCCGTGTTTTAAAATACGCCTAGAGCCCTGGTAATTTTCCCACACATTTCTACTTCACCTAAAATGTAATGTTCGACACCTTTTTTTTAAAGTATTGTGTGAGTATGTTATGCCAGTTATGTGAGTGTTGTGTAGCGCCTTCACCAACCTGCACACCCACATTCAGCAGTAAAGCGACAACAACAATGGGTGTGCGTGCACACGCATGCCATTAATCGCTGGTAGAATGTCAAATATGTGCTATTGTTCACCGTGACCTGGTTATTTTTACTTCAATTGACAACCTCAGTGGCTGAGTTTGTAGATCTCTAAGCTCTGCTTGAGTCTAAGCTGCACAATTGGCCATCTCTTGTCGATGTCGTTTATCTCCACATTGGTTCTCAACTGATGGAATGTCACCCTGCTAAATGATAGCAAGAACGTAATAACGAGATGTGTGTGGGTTTTTTTTGCGCGGGAGAATTCAGGAAACTTAAAACTTTCTAAATCTGCATTTGGCCTCGTGTGGTTTGTCCATCGCTATGGTTGCATTTCCTCGCGAATTGTTTTCCACACGTGAAACTTTTACATGAACTGTGGTATCTTCACTTCCGTCTCTTGTATTTCAAGTGCGGTTGGTATCGTTACGATTGTGTTTTATGTCATATCTGTAGTGGTTTTTTAATCGTATAAATGACAGCACGATTAGTCCGAGGCCAGTATATGCACAGAATCGAAACTACCATATTCTCTACCAGATAACTGGATACATGGCGTGATGTTACGGCCCTACCAACAGAAAAGTATAAACCACAACAGGAGTACATGCTCGCTTTAGCACTGGCGACACGTAGCGTTATTGAACACTCGTTATTTGCATCAGTCATGGTGAGTAAGGGTTATAAAAGGGGGCCTGTATTTTGTGTTGTTGGTGTCTGCTAACAGCAACGGAGAGACGAGCACATGGGGTTCGGCGATAATCCCTTTCCTCCTTTATGCCCCCTAACCATCTCGTCTTGTAGCAGGGACACTCCCTGTTCCAAGGTGAGCCCTGCCAACGTCACCAAAATAGAGCGACGTGGATTCCCCACCGCACACCGCACCGCGTGCCTGACGTGATTGCAAAGCCGTCCGGGCCAGTCGGGGGCGCGTCTCGATGTTTGGGTATGTAACCGGAATACCGTGAGGCTCCCAGAGGCAACAAACAAAGTAGCCACTACCGCTGCCCAGAGGTTGCAACCGGGTACCCGTACGGGTACACGTTTGCGACCCTGGTGCGGCCGGGTACGGGTAAGGAATCAAAACCCGTTTGCGACCTCTGTCGCTACCCTCCACACCCCCCCCCCCAAAAAAAAAACTCCACACCCTCCCAATTCCCCCACTCTACCGATCGATCTCAAACCCACCACCACCGCCGCCACAAAGCCACCAAAAGACCGCAAGCACCGCTCCCACCAATTTCTCAGCCGTGCTACTCCACAGCCTTGTTTGACGGTGATGAGGGGGCCCCTAAGCACTGCAATGTTGCCACTTGCCCCGCTCGTGCACCAAAGGGCTTGCCGGAATCTGTTGGGAGATCGTTAAAAATCTTCGGCGTCAATTAATCAATGCCGCGTGTTTAACCCCAAGTGAGGGTACCTTTGAGAGTCGCGGTCCAATTGCCAAGGGGCGCACGAGTAAATGCAGCTACGTAGAAACATGTGAATTTTTTTTGTGCTACATTAATTAGATACCAGTCAAATAAAGAAAATGCCAATAACACAGGCACACAGGTCTCTGTGGGCTCTTACCTGGTTATACATTGAGCTCTATTACTACATTATTCTGTACAGTATTTGGAGGTTCTGTAATGTTATATTTATACCAGATGTGACACTTTGGTGAATTCCCACCAGAACTTACCAGATAGGAGCAGGGACTAAACCAGCGTTGGCCACAGCTCGTAATAGATCACTCGTCAGCCACCATTTGTGTGACCTTCATTTCTAAGTCTGTTAACTACCTCGCCTGGTATGCAAGAGGTCATGCGTTTGATCCCAATCCTAACGCCTGTATATTTGGAGTTTGCATGTTCTCCCCTCGGTCGCATGGATTTTTATCCAGGTCCTCCGTTTTTCCCTCGACATTTAGAAACATACATTGAGAGTATTTGGTTGCTATACATTTCCACATGATAAGCTTCTTCGTTGAGTTATCAATTGTTACCATGTCGCTTCTAAAAAAAGCTATATAGCTCAGTGGTCCTTAACTGGTAAAATTAAATAGAAATAGTTAATTTAGCCTCCAGCAGTAACAGATCATTGGGCTCCTAGATGAAGCCGCCCCAGAGCATGCAGCAGCATCCAACAAGCAATCATTTCCTCTGTTTATAAATCAACTGGGTGTAGCCCATTAAGGTCACGTGCCCCTGTTGCGAGCAGTTTGTGATATAACAAATGCAGTGCAAACAAATTGTTTTGAAAATCCGTGGCAAAACGGCTGAAATCGGCAGCACAATTTGTGACATTGTGTGTTTGTAGAACTTCATCATCGTCGTTATTCACGTCGTGGCCTTTTTTAGCGCTGTTATTCAATTGACAAAGAAATCTGAATGCATGCTGGTATTTAAATTCGTGTTATTTATTGACTTACTGATTTTTTTATTTGCTCTCAATGTGGGTCATTTTTTTTATTTGAAATCGTGGGATATGATACTGAGGTGCACAGTAGCTGGAGTTTTCAGTGGGTCTTGCAATGTCTTTACCCCATCTACATTACAAAAACATCCTCGTGCAAATTAACT